AATAACTTGAGGCATGTGTTGCATATTGCTAAAAGGTTTTCTAGAAAGTTTATATCCTTTTCCATCATAACTGAGTTCAATATATTAGTTCATAATTGAGTTCATATATTAGTTAAGAGCTTACTATGTGCCAGACATGGTCTAGAAGCTTAAAATGTATTGGTGAACAAGATAAATGCTGAATTCTAGAAATTACACTCTTGCTGGCATATGTCAGAGTGCTTGTCTTGTTATGTGCTTGCCAGCTTCAAGTATTTTCTTTTATTTTCGGCAGTGCTAAGAATTGAACCCAGGATCCTGCCCATGCTAGGCAAGTGCTCTGCCACTGAGCTACATCTTCAGACTGCAATACTAGCATTCTTTAAAATTTCAAGGTGCACTACAAAGAAGAAAAAGGAATATTCCAGTCATTGCAGCGATGAGCTACAAATGATAACTCACACTAGCTACTGTGAGAACAGAGATTTTTTCCCCCCAGACTGGAAAAAGTTAGCAGGACTCCTTCTCAACAAAGCAAGATAGGTAAGCCAGGCACTGGTGACTCACGCCTGTAATCCTAGCTACTCAAGAAGCTAAGATCTCAGAATCCTGGTTCAAAGCCAGGAAAGTTCCTGACACTCTTATCTCCAATAAACTATTCAAAAAAGGCAGAAGTAGCACTGTGGCTCAAGTGGTAGAGTGCTGGCCTTGAGCAAAAAAAGCTCAGGGACAGTACCTGGGCCCTGAGTTCAAGGATTGCCCCAGGATTGGCAAAATAAAAAAAAAAATCAGAGACAGAGCCTGAGTTCAAACCCTAATCACACACACACACACACACACACACACACACACACACACACACACACACACACACACACACACACAAGCCCTTTGAAAAGAAGCAGCCCTTTGGGTCAAGTAATAGTCTTTAGAAATTGATCTGAAGCCAAGTGCAACTCTGATTTCCAGTCATGAGGATTCTGGATTATTTACAGATAACTTGAACACTGCCACTCTGGCTCTGAATGAAACTTGCCCATCCAGCATGAATTCTCATCTAAACCAGAGTGGACATCCCACTATCACTAGTAGTCCATTTTATTTAACAGCAAATCTAGTTTGAAAGCTTTTAGTTTCAGAGTTTTACTTCTTGAGGCTTTAAATTGAATATTTTCTGCCCTCCATATGAAGCAAAATGTCCTTTCATCTATGAGCCCTCCAAGAGGACACAGGTATAACAGAAAGGACACTGTGATGGTATATAAAAAATGACAGATTTACTGGGTACTGGTGGCTCACCCTTGTAATCCTACCTACTCAGGAGGCTGGGATCTAAGGATTGAGATTCAAAGCCAGCCCAGGCAGGAAAGTCCAAGACATTTTTTTTGTTTTAAAGTGATGTACAAAGGGTTACAGTTACATAAGTAAGGAAATGAAACCCCTCCCTGGTTTTCTCCCACAAGACATTCTTATCTCTAATTAACTAGTAGAAAAACCAGAAGTGGAGCTCTGAATCAAAGTGATAGAGTGCCATCCTTGAGCAAAAGAGCTCAGGGAAAACACCTATGTAGAGTTCAAGCCCCATGACCAACAAAAAAAAAAAAAAGAAGAAAGAAAAAAGAAAGGCAGATTTTCCTCCTAGCATTCCATTCAAATAATCCCCCAGCTTTAATACCTTTGAGAAATGAACATCACGAGTAAAGGGAAGGGCATTAACTATCATCTGTATTTTTCCAGTTTGATGTTTTTTATTCCTTTAAAAGAAAGTACTCAAGAAGTATGTAAATGATGTTTACTGAGATAAGGTTTCTGGTACTTGTCAAAATATGAAATGAACACCTCATAGAGGGTAGTGGTTATTGATAGATGGCTTGAAAGGATGATATTTTTGGAAAGTCTATTTTTGTTCCACCATTATTTTCAATAATATTGAACTTTGAGGCTTATACACAGCTTGAATGTTCTAACCTTTAACAAAAAGAATCCCATCAAGGGTGAGGTGGATGGAGAGCTGGTTGTTTGGTTTGTTTTAACACTGTGTCATTCTCTATTAGAAAAATGCAGATTAGTATTTTATTAGTTAAAAGTTCTCCCAGCTTTACAAAACAAACTGTATATGTGGATAACTTTCAGTTTGTGTGTGTGTGTGTGTGTGTGTGTGTGTGTGTTGTGTGTGTGTGTGTGTGTGTGTGTGTGTGTGTGTGTGTGTGTGTGTGTGTGTGTGTGCTGGTACTGATACTGTCCTAGGGCTTGAACTCAGGGACTGGACCTTATCCCTGAGCTTCTTTTGCTCAAGGTTAGTACTCTATCACTTGAACCACTTCTGTATTTTGGAGATGATTAATGAGTCTCATAGACTTTTCCTGCCTGGGCTGGTTTCCAACAGAGAAGCTCAGCTCTCAGCCTTCTGAGTAGCTAGAATTGCATGCACGAGACACTGGCACCTGGCTTGCATCCTGTTTTTCTCTGCTAAGTTTCAAACATAAACAATTTCCCGTCATGATATCTGTATGACTAGTATGTACTTCTATCACAATTCAAGTAGATGAACTAGCCATCATATTTAAAGTTGGACATTTGAGATATTTCCAGTTTTTCTGTATTAAAATTGAACCTGTGCATATGATCTAGAGATAAGAGAATCTCAATTCAAGGCCAGCCAAGAAAAAAAAGTAAGGAGCCTTATCTTAATAACAACTTAAGGGTGATGAAATACCTCTGTAATCAACTTCTTGGGAAGTATAGATAGAAGAATTGATGCTCAAGGCCAGTTCTGGCAAGAGGCACAAGGAGTTTATCTGAAAAAACAAACTAAAAAGCAAAAGGACTAGGGGATAGAGGTGTGTGGCTAAGAGGTACAATGTTTTACCACAAGGCCTGGAGTTCAATCATCAGTGCTACCAAAAAATTGTGATTAGTAGCTTATTAATGAAAGATGTCTACATTCAAAATGTTTCCTTGGGATGGATTTGTATAAGTGAGATAAATGAATAAAAATTATTTTAGTGGTATAAGTTTATTCAGATACCTACTCCCCCAGCAGTGTATTTTACCCTACCCATCCTTATTATCTTTTCCATAAGAAAGTGGTAGGTGATAGAGGATAGTAAACGTGTGTGTGTGTGTGTGTGTGTGAGAGAGAGAGAGAGAGAGAGAGAGAGAGAGAGAGAGAGAGAGAGAGAGAGAGCGTACGCTAATCATGGGGCTTGAACTCAGGGCATAGGTGCTGTCCCTGGACATTTCACTCAAGGCTAGCATTCTACCACTTGAAACACAGCTCCACTTCCATCTTTCTTGGTGGATAATCGGAGATAAGTCTCACAGGCTTTCTTGCCCAGGCTGGCTTCAAACTGTGGTCCTCAGATCTTAGCATCCTGAGTAGCTAGGATTACAAGTGTGAGACACCAGCTCCCAGTGTTTAGTCATTGCTGGTATTACCTCTTGAATTACCTATTTATATTTTGTCCATTTTTACAAGAATTTTAATGATTTAAAATGAGCTCTTAATGGACATTCATCTTTTATCCTATTAGTTACAAATAAAATATTTTTTTACAGGTTGGTTTTAAAACAGCAACCCCTCTGTACAGCATTTTTACAATAAAATAAAATTTAAAAACAAAAAAGAAAAAGATATTCTCCAGAAAAAAGGATGTGCTAAATGGGGTGATAAAGTGTGAACTGAGCTTATACCAGATATAACTACTTCAGCCTACATTTTAAATTGAAATGTGCCAAAAATTATTTTTAAATGAAGATTTACTGATATTAAACAGTGAAAAAAAAGTCTTGGCAGGGTACTGTGGTGCACACCTGCACTTCTGGCTACTCAGGAAGCTGAGATCTGAAGATCTAGATTAGAAGCCAGACTGGGCAGGAAAAGTCCATGAGATTTCTCCATTTAACCCCAAAAATCCAGAAGTGGAGCAGTGGCTTCAGTGGTAGAGCTATGGACTTGAGGGAAAAAAAGTTTAGTGACAGTGCCTAGGTCCTGAATTCAAGTCCAGGGACACAGACCCCCACCAAAAAAAGTCTTATGTGTATGTAGTTCTTTTTTGTTGGCAGTGGTGTTCAGAGGCTTGAGCTCAGGGCCTTGGTGCTGTCCCTGAGCTCAAGACCAGCTCTACCAGTTTGAGTCACAGCCACCTGTAATCTTAGCTACTCAGGAGGCTGAGATCTGAGGATCTCAGTTCAAGGCCAGCCTGGACAGGAAAGCTTGTGAGACTCATGTCCAATTAACCACCATAGTTCTTTTTTGAAGGGATAGTTGGATTCTGACATAGCAGAGTGCTCTAAGCTTGAACTTGTTCTATCATGTTTCAGTTGAAGAGTTTGGGTGTTTTGTTTTGTTTTTTACTTTCTAAGGATAATATTCATGATGCTTAGATTTGGGGTGGATTCCAAGCCATCATTGGCCTGGCACATACATACAAGCTGGGATGTAATGTCCAATCCAAAGTCGCAAAGGGGAAGGAAAACAACCACCAACAACAAAAGTGTTCAGAACAGTGACAGCCTAACAATGTGAAACTTTTCTTGAGTATATGGCCATTAAATTAGTACTGCTGAAACAATCCACTCATGACATCATAATACCTGGTAGTTGCTGCTCTTGTACATATAAATAGAATGATGGAAGCTTTCCATGTTATCTAATTGATTTATGGCCTTATGTATTTAATGAACTAAAAAGATGAAAATGGAATCTCCGTTCCATAGTCCATCTTTATTTCCAGACACAACCTATGGTTGTATTTCAAGGCAGACTTAAGGGTTCCTGTTTCTTAAGCCATACTTGAGGAAATCATCTTAACTTTGGAGGAAACTCTAGCACATTCAATATTGGCATCCATCCCCTGTCAAACCCTTCACCCCTTCTTCAAACCAATCAAATGTGGAATTCTCAACCCTTTCAGTGTCCAGAAAATAAGCTGTGGAATCCTTGCCACGTTGGACTTCTCATTGCCATTTGGCTTGGGTGGTAAAGATGGGGAAGTAGAGATGTTGTTTGGCCTGAATCTCTAACAGTAGAGACGTAGAAGAGAGAACAAAATCATGAGAAGACCAGCTGCCCACTGCAGGGCACTGTCTTGTGCCCTGGTGGTGGTGAAAAGTTGAATGTGGGACAGCAGAGGTACTGTGGGAGGAGTTAGTTGAAAATGGTGCAACTGTTTGGTTTGAATAAATCTGCGTGGGTAGGAGCAGTCACAGAAGCAGCAGTCCCAGTCCCAGCCTGGCTACCATCTCTCTACCCAAGTCTGTTCCTTTGGTGAGCCCTGTGTCCCGCTGGCTGTTTAAACAGGTGTGTGGAGAAGGGGTGGAGAAGGGGGCGCAAATGAGGTTAAGTTGAAGAGTTTAGAATTAAGATCTGTCAGGAGTTCAGTTTAGCTAATTCCAAATTTAGCTGGGGGGGGGGGGGAGGGGGGGGGGAACAACCCTATGTGGGCCTGATATAACCATTGTTTGACTTGTTACATTTTCAAGTGATTTTAAAGTAGGGGTGGGTGGGTAGGGACAAAAACAATTTTGCCAGAATATCTTTGAATTCTGAGGTAATTTTCTCCCCAAGTATCTTGCACATTGGGAGGCAGATGAGCAAGTGAACAGAATTTTTGATGGAAAAGTACTGCTCTGGGCTGCAGATGTGTGCCTGGATTGGGTTTAATTATTTTTCCTGTCTCTCTATCCTTCTTTCCGCTCTCCCCCCTCCCCCAACACAATAAAAAGCTGCCGCAACAAGTCTCTTAAGGGTAGAGGCAATCCTAGCTCTCTACAGGCCTGTTGCTGTGCAGAGGTTAGCATATCAGAGGCCAGATGAAATATCTAGAAAAAGTAGGAAGCAAGCCTAGAATCTATCTAAAACTTCAGCCTTTCTCTAAGCTCCAGTTCAGGACTATTGTAGTTGCCAAGAGTGGCAAAGCAGACTTCAAATAAAAGAGTGCTACCAAACAAACAAATTTGGGACATTTTTCTGAGATTAAAAATAAACAACTGGGTGCTGATGGCTCATGCCTGTAATCCTAGTCTCTTAGGGAGCTGAGATCTGATGATGGCAGTTCAAAGACAGCTTAGGCAGGAAAATCTGTGAGACTCCTCTCTAATTAAACACCAAAAAGCTGGAAGTGGAGCTGTGATTTAAGTGGTAGAATGCTAGGTTTGAGCAAGAATGCTGTCCTTGAGCAAAAGGCTCAGTGACAGAGCCTAGGCCCTGAGTTTAAACCTAAGGACTGGCACCAAAATGGTTAATTAAACGAAATTTCTTGAAGAAAAAAAAAAGAAACTCATCAAGAGAATGTCACCTGTTGGAGACTTGGCTTAAGTAGAAGAATGCTGGCCTAGCTAGCACAAGGCCCTGAGTTTAAATTGTAGTTTCAAACCTCCAGCTCTAGCTTTTTAGTGGTTAATTGGACATAAGAGTCTCATAGACTTTACTGCCTAGGTTGGCTTCAAACCTTGATCCTCAGATCTCAGCCTCTTAAATAGTAGGATTACAGGTGTGAGCCACTAGTGTTTTGCTTAAGGTTTAAGCTGTGTTTTTTTTTTTTTTTTAAATCTACATTGGTTGATCTGAACCCCAGTTACTGAGAATTGACACACCTACAGCAGGAATGGTATTCCTACCTCCTTCCCAGCTATCTGCCACAAGGCAAGGCGTGTGGCGCAGATTTCATCACAGAACAAATTCGACTTCCCAAAGTGTCTTTAAGGTGGAAAACGGAGTTGAAGTAAATGAATTCTTTATATGTTAAGACACTTTCTAGTCATAAGCAATAACGCAGGGCGGCAGCGAAGGGGAAATGAGGGTCTTTGATATGAGCGATGATAAATCTGAAGCAAGAAAAATGGAGTCCAGTTTTTTGGCGTTCATCAGGTGGGGCTGTGAATGCCAAGGCTCAGGTCGGTGTGGCTGCAGTGGCAAGAGTAGGGGTGTGAGGGAGCAAGAATAAGTAGGTGTCTGGGTTAGATGATGTTGGGACAAGGTTGGCTTGGGGCTGAGGCAGTGGCCCCGCGGGTAGAAATGGGGAGGGGAGGGTTCAGCGCCGAAGCTAGGAAGGCTAGGGCGAGTAGGCAGCGCGGAACGGAGACTCTAAGGCTACGTGGGGGGTAAGAGTGGGGCGGTCGGACCCAGCAGGAGGCCTAATCGAATAGGGCGGGGCGCTTAGGTGGCCGTTGGAAGGCGGGACGTGGAGCGTCTCGAGGAGGCTCCGCCCCTCCACGCCCCGCCTCCTCCCCTAGCTAGTCCCGCTCGGCAGCGGAGCTGGGAGCGCCACTCGTTCGCGGAGAGGGAGGAGAAAGCAGCGAGTTCCGGAGCCTTGCTTAGCCGGGCCCAACATTTCCTGAGATCATGGCTGCCGAGGATGTAGTGGCGACAGGCGCTGACCCGAGCGAGCTGGAGGGCGGCGGACTGTTGCACGAGATTTTCACATCGCCACTCAACCTGCTGCTGCTGGGCCTCTGCATCTTCCTGCTCTACAAGATTGTGCGCGGAGACCAGGCGGGGGCCGGCAGCGACGACGACGACGAGCCGCCCCCACTGCCCCGCCTCAAACGCCGCGACTTCACCCCGGCCGAGCTCCGACGCTTCGACGGTGTTCAGGAACCACGCATACTTATGGCCATCAACGGCAAGGTGTTCGACGTGACCAAAGGCCGCAAGTTCTACGGGCCGGGTATGTTGGCAGCGGGTGGGGGGGGGGCGCTAAGGGAGGGGGCTGGAGGCCGGGGTGGTGGCGGATGGGAAAAAAGGGGGGAATCCAGGGCACCTCTGAATTGAGTGGGGGGGGGGTGGCGCGCAGGGGAGGGGGGGAAAGGTGGTAAATCTGGCGTTTGTGGCTGGGTGGTTCCTGGGGCAGGAGGGAGGAGGACGGGGGGGAGGGGAGGGGGACGCAGATTTGCCACCACCACCTGCACTGGCTTGGGGTTGCAGGAAGACGGGCTCTGAAGCTACGGGTGGGCGGGGCCACGAGGCTCAAATGCTCGAGTGCCAAGCCTTGGGGGAGTTTTTCGAAGGTAGTATGTTGGGAGGGGGGCTGGAAAGAGGAGGTGGTATCGGGTTCGGGAAAGGAAAGGAAGGTGTCTCCGGGGAGGGGTGGGAGGGCGGCTGGAGGAAGGAGAAGCCGATCACTGCCTGCAGCAGCCATGGTGGAACGAGCGGGTGTGGGAGAAAGAAAGCAGAGACTAGGATTAGCATCAGGTAGAAGAAGCATTGTGCGTGGTAGAGTGCTGTGTGTCTGCGTGTATGTGTGTGCATGCGCAGTGTGTGCATGTTCAGTGTATGTGGGTGTGTGAAGGTCTGCGCGCTTGGAATGTGGTGTGTGTCGGGAATGTGTTTGACATGTATGTTTGGTATGTGTGTGTGCCCGTGCTATGAAAGGCTGTGAGCAAGAGCGGCCCATAGGGGAAAGCTTACTGCCTGATGATGGATTAGGGTTGAATATGGTGGACAATGGGAACGAAGCAAGTTGATAGGCAAAACAAAACCGTATTTAGTTTATAGCAGGAGCGAAAGGACTAGAAACCCTCCCACCCCCCCCACCCCCGCCCGCAAGAAAATATGGAGGAAGGGAGAATCACAGGAAACAAAAAGGGATGGGCTACTGAATGTGGAATTTCAGGAAGCCACACAGAGGGGGAACATGGAATTCGTGGATGGCTGCTAAGCTACTAGAAGAGAATCCTTAGAGATGAGGTTTTTCCAATTCTGATGGCCTATCACCATTACCTAATGCACTTAAAAATACAGATTCCTGGCCTAACCAGCTGAATCACAGATAATTTTGAGGGTAGGGTTAAAATTTGCATTTTAATGTGTTTCCATAGGTGAATTTGAGAAGCAGCCAGATTTGGAAAGTCCTGCTTTGTACAGTGCTTGGGAGTGAAGGAAGAAAAAATTTCAGCAATGCCAATCTGGACTCTTCCAAACACTGGAAGCTGGGGGGGGGGGGGGGGATTCACACTCAATGTTTGAGAGAGAAAAGACCAGGCTTAAACCACACCAGTCATATTCATGCTTCTCTTCAACTCTCTGGAGTCCACTAAATAAAAAACAGATGTGTGAAGGTTCTTAAGGAATTCTCACACTTAAGATTTTCCTTTTGGGCATTTTATAATGTTTTCTGTAGTCATGGAACTGCAAGTAGCCAAAAATGTGTGTACATGGCATTGTCATATGGTTGTGGTTTGCAGAGTCATCTAGAGGACTGTCTGTGCACAGAGCATAAAACTGGGAATTAGGCAACCTGCATTCTATTCTGGGGGTTGCTGACCAAGCTGTGTGACCTGCTGCAAAGCATTGTTCTCTCTGGGCCTTCGTTTTCCCTTTAGAAAATAATGTCTTGCTCATTGTGAGCTCTTCTAAGACTGTACCTGTACCTTTGACTGCCATTGAGTGGGCCTGTGAACACATGACGTTGTAATGGAAAGGATATTCCATATTACAAAGAATTCCTAAAATGTTTTCATTTGGACTTATGAACACGTGACATTGTGATGGAAAAAAATATTTCCTATGACAAACAAGTCCTAATTTTTTTGTCATTCAAGTGCCTATTTTACTCCACAAGGCACTGTTTTAGGTACTGGAAATGTTGCAGCAAGCAAACACACACAAAACTGGTCACGGAATGTGGACGTTGTGATAAACAATATATGTCTTCCAAAGACTGCTAATGCTTACCCCGCAGAGCCTGTTAGGATTTTTGTGAGGTTTGCTAGGTATAGATCCACTTAAAGGAATCCAGGACTAGAAACCACTGCATTCCACCTATTTTAAAGCAGTTGGTGCTTCTGTTTCCACTAGAAGTGGACATTTGTGAAACATGAGGTATTTTCTTAACCCTCTCTAGTGGAAAAGGCAACATGGAATGATAATTTAAAACAAACATTGGAGGAGGGATCTTAAATTCATTTAATAACTCAATTGTATAGGCTGACCAGTATAGCACTCTGGTACAACACTTGGCTAGCATGCAGGAGGATCTAGGTTTCATCCCTAACTGCAAAAAAAAAAAAAAATCATGTAATTTGTTTTTTTAAAAAGTGATTTGAGGTTGAGGTGGTACAATAGTTAACTACAAACTTTTTCATGTCAGGGTTGTTACCTAAACTACTTGAGGGAAAACAAGACATTGTTTAAAGTACACTAGATTCTTTTCATTTACTTGTGCAATATTTAAATAAGTCTGAACATCCACTCTAAGTGCCTACAGAATGATTCAGTGCTCTCTAAGGTGAAAGTTTGGTATACTGTCATCCATAATAGCAACTTCAGTTTTGTAGATTATTTGGGAGCATGATTCAGCCTTTTCTGTAAAAACTTTGGTATTTTCACAATCTTCTGCTTAATCCCACTGAAACTAGAATGATGAAACTGATCTCTTTTTTGTGCTAGCTCTTACTTATTGACAGTGAAAGTTATGTAATATGTGGACAGATATTTGAACCACTGAGACTTAGGATTTCTAAGACAGATACCACAAGTTAATGTTTAATTAAATCTTGCAACCAGAAATCCCAATAAGATACCTTTGACTCATTAAAACATATCAGAGTACATTTATAAGGAAATGTTTTCATGTAGAGGTTATCTTGAGAAACCTTAACCTTGGGCTGGGAGCATGGTTCAAGTGGTAGAATGCCAGCCTAGCAAGTGAACAGCCTCGAATTCAAACCCCAGTGAGGGAGAGGGAGCAATAACTTTCACTGGCTTGGTCCTGGAGTGCCTAGAACTAAGCCAACCTCTGGGTTCAAAGTCCAACCTCTGGGTTCAAAGTCCTTATGTTGAATTCTAACCCCCAACCCATACACTGTATCATCTTAGATCATTCCTTAGCACCTCTAGCACCTCAGAAATAATTAGGAAGTGGAGCTATGGCTCCAAGTGGTAAAGCACCACCCTTGAGGGAAAAAAATCTAACTAAGGGACAGTGCCCAGGCCCTGAGTTCAAGCCCCAGTATCAGCACAAAAAAAATTATTTGCAACTTCTATATTAGTTATTGGAAATTCACGAGAGATTGAAAATGTGCAGCATTTTTATTTACTTTATCTCTTTTAATGACGTGTCTTTCAGTGTCTCCTATATAAATGATCAAAGTGTCACTTGTCACATGTTGAGAATGGAATTTGATACTGAAAAGAAAGGACTTTGTTAGGCTGATGGCAAGGAAGCTATTTCTACATATGAACCATGGATAAATGTATTATCTAATCAAGTATCTGTCTTGGTTTCATTTTGTTTTTAAAGAGGGGCCGTATGGGGTCTTTGCCGGACGGGATGCCTCCAGGGGCCTTGCCACTTTTTGCCTGGATAAGGAAGCACTGAAGGATGAGTATGATGACCTTTCTGACCTCACTCCTGCCCAGCAGGAGACCCTGAGTGATTGGGACTCTCAGTTCACTTGTAAGCTGGTTTTGCTGTTGCTTGGGATTTTTTTGTTGTTGTTTTGTAAATTGTGTTTAGATCAAATTTCTGCCAGTCATGAGAGTTCACCATAGGACAATAGGTATTGCTAAGAAGCCTGAAGCTCAGGTACACTTCGATAGGCTCCCAAATCTTTGACAGATCAAGTTCGCAGCCTAAAGAAATTATAGCAGTGCTGAGTCACTTACTGTGATCGCAGACTGATGTTTAACTTGTTCTCTATAGAAACTTGTGTTTCCGGTTTTGCTTTCTTAAATTTTTTGCAGAGGTTTGTGCAGATTCCACACTAGCATTTCGGTGTGTAGGGGAAAGGACAGTGGCCCTCCTGGCTGCAGGAGAAGGGGTTTTTCTTCAGCCGCCTCTTATAGGCCTCTTGTAGAGCTTGCCATTGAAAAGCAACCCACATCCCTCCTGAAGAATGGGAAATTATATTCTTTACAGCAGCTTCTCTTTCAATCTAATTGAACCTAACTGTGGGCCTCATGGACAAATGATGTTTAGAATCTGCCCAGCAACAATGATGTCTGCATTTTTTGAAAGCAAAAAAAAAAAGGAAACATTTATTTCTGGCTTCTGTTGTGGGCTGAGGTCTTTTGAGGGGCAAGAAGGGAAGAGAATAGGGGTCAAATTCAAATCTTGTGATTTGGGAATTGACTTCTAGGCAGGCATTCTACCACTTGAGCCACACCTCCAGTCCTGCTTTTTTGCTGGCTAGGATGGACATGGAGTCTGGTGAGCTTTTCCTCTCAGGCTGGCCTCGACCCATGATCCTCTAGAATCACCAGCCACTGGCATCCAGTGAATTGGCTTTTTGTCTTTCCTTAGTTCAAGGGATTAATTAGTCCTAAGGGTTAATTTAGCAATAACTGACTGCTACAGATTTGAGTGAAAAGTATGTAAAAACAATGATCATTTCTTTTTTTGGGGTCCGGTTGTGGGGCCTGAACTCTGGGCCTGGGCGCTGTCCCTCAGCTCTTCAGCTCAAGGCTAGCGCTTTACCACTTGAGCCACAGCGCCACTTCCAGCTTTTTTCTTTTTGCTTATGTGGTGCTGAGGAATCGAACCCAGGGCCTCAAGCATGCAAGGCAAGCACTCTACCTCTGAGCCACCTTCCCAACCCCAATGATCATTTCTTTAGGGAAGATTTTTTTCATTTAAAATGTTGTTTTCAGCTAAGCACAGTGACTCACACCTACAAGCCTAGATATTCAGGAGATGAAGATTGGGAAGATTGTAGTTCAAGGCCAGCATAGGCACTATGCCTGTAATTTAAGCCACATGGGAGGCATAGATAGGAGAGTTCTACTCTGTGGTTTGCCCCAAGCAAAAAGTACAGAGCCCTGTCTGAGGAATAACACCTGATGCAGGTGTTAGAGTAGCTGCCTAGCCAGCACAAGACCCTGAGTTCAAACTTCTTGGCCACCAGAAAAAAAAAAAAAAAGAAAATGAAGCTTTCTATTTGCTGTTCTTTATAACCAGTTAAATATTACATGCTCATTTGGTTATATCCAATCATTTTTTTTGAAAACTATCATGACCTCAGGGAGAGTTCTTGTTTAATAATTAGACAGCTGTGACTCAAATTTGCATCTCAGACAGGTAAAGCATATCTTTCAGGTCTCAAGGTAAGTCTTTTCCATTAGTAAAATGTAATTCAGCTGCCTAACATAGTCACTAAGGTGGCATCCTAAGGATGCTTTTGTGCTTGTATTCCTCTGTAGGAAACTAATGAGTTGTAATTTGTCACTTGAGAACCTTTCTCTTCTAAGGCTTGCTTTCATGGGAGGGAGAAAATTGGTGATTTTTTTTCCCTCTCTTTCAAGTAAGACCAGCTCCAAATCCTGTCGGAACATTGCTGCCACACTCCAGAGCCGTTGTCACTTTCCCTTAAGATAGGTTTCCCAGGCACCACCCAGCTTTTATTTGGTACAGTCCCAGCTTCCAAGGACCTTTGTCCCTTTGTTCCCATTGTCCCTAACCATTTCACACAAAGGCAGCTCTTGTTACCTGGCGTAGCAGGTTGGTTACTCTTCCTCTCCTTTCCAAAAGGAGACTTGGGTCCTCTTGGCTTCTGATGGATCAATAACCCTGCCATTCGTTTGGCTACGATAGTGTAGTTTTTGCCAACTCTGGCTTGCACTCTTCAATCTCCAGGCTGCTTGAAATACCTGTAGATTTTTCCCCATGCTGGGAAAACATTGTCTCTTGCTATCCTTTCCACCTACTGGACCATGGTACATCTTCATACTAAACCATGGTTCCTTCACTATCAAAACAAGCCGCTGCTAAGTTCCTCCTCCTCTCTAAGTACTGCTTCATTTCCTCTTTGCCCCTCCTTCCTAGCCCTACAGTACATCCCCACAATTTATGGGTTAGATTCTCTCAAAAGAGTTCCAGGGACGTGCTTCTTTTTTTTTTTTTGGTCAGTCCTGGGGCCTGAACGCTGAGTCTGGGCACTGTCCCTCGGCTCTTCAGCTCATGGCTAGTGCTCTACCACTTTAGTCACAGCACCACTTCCAGCTTTTTCTGCTTATGTGGTGCTGAGGAGTCGAACCCAGGGTCTCATGCATACAAGGCAAGCACTCTACCACTGAGCCACCTTCCGAGCCCTGGGTCCTGCTTCTGGCCAGTGCTCCCTTTGCTGCTCCAATCCATTTTGTGGATCTATCAAGTGGGCTCTCCAGAATGGCTCTTTTTACAGAGTCCTTATTTGGGTCCACCCTCATTTAGGGTGGACAGATTTCACTTCTTTAATGTATGTTGCCAGTTTTCTTTCAGAGTGTCTCTATCCTTTCCTTTAATTTCCATTGACTCCACCCTCCTCCAGGTTTTGGCTCCTTTAACATCTGCCTACTCACCTCCCTCCTGGTTACACCCTGCTCCTAGCCTGCCCTCATGGAAATCTGCCCTCATGGAAATCTGCCCTCTGTATCACAGTGACAATGTTATTACCCAAGCACCATTTTGCCATGTCATTCCTTCTCCCGTAAACCTCCCTTTGCAACCTGTAAGTTAAGTTCACATTTTTCAGGCTGGCTTTTCAGGTCTTTTGTAATAGTCCCCACACTGACTAGCCAGACTTACTTCCTGCCACTTCCAAAACCAGTTATTTTCCTGACAACTCCTTTTCTTTCTTTCTCTCTCTGTCTTTCTCTTTCTTTCTCTATTTCTCTTTTTCTCTTTCTCTCTCTCTTTCTTTCTTCCTTTATTTCTTTCTTGCTCGCTCACTTGCTTGCTTGCTGTTGTTGGTTGTGGTGCTTGAATTCTGGGCCCCTGAGCTATTCACCTCAAGGCAAGCACTCGACCACTTGAGCCACAGCACCACTTCCAGTTTTCTAAGTGGTTTATTGGACCTAAGAGTCTCATGGACTTTCCCGCCTGGGCTGGCTTGGAACCACAATCCTCAGATCTCAGCCTCTTGAGTAGCTAGGATTATAGGCCTGAACCACTGGTGCCCGGCCTCCTCTTTCTTGTTGCCCAGATAATGTTGAATCTTATAGGTATACCTTTGAACATGCTGTTTTCATTTTCTTGGAAACAGCAAAGCCTTCTAGCCACTTGCTAAAGCATAGCATTCTTCATGATGTACTCTGCAACCCTTCCCAACTCATCATGAGGTCCTTGTTCTTCTAAACAACACGCTCATAAACAAAATCTGTTCAATCCCACAGGACCTTGAATGCTCATTGTCAGGCATTGCTACCTGTTCTGTCTTCCTGTCTTTGAAACAAGACTCTTAAAATCCCTTCAAGAAGCCTAACACCTCGCCATATTGTACACCCATAATAAATGCCTCAGGGTAAAGTTCAGTTGATTCCTTACAAAGCCTGAAAATGACCATTGGTGTTTGCTTCTCTCCCTCTAGTCAAGTACCATCACGTGGGCAAGCTGCTGAAGGAAGGGGAGGAGCCCACTGTGTACTCCGATGATGAGGATTCCAAAGATGAGAATGCTCGGAAAAATGATTGAAGCATTCAGTGGGAGGCATATCTATTTTTGTATTTTGCAGAATCATTTGTAACATTCCAGTCTGTCTTTAAAACATGGTGATTTCAATACTTAGAAACATTTGAACTTGCTGTCAATTTTTTAAATTAACATCACTAGTGACGCCGTTAAATTGAACTTCTGTCTTTCAAATGCATGGTATGTTTGTGTCACCAAACCAGAAAGTGAACTACAGCGCTGTCATGCAAACATTTAATGACTGTTTTTCTTCTATCTGTAATTAGAACAAGCTGAATTTTCTGTTGTTTTTGCCTGAGAGGACAGATGAGACTTGGGTTGGGTATTTTCCCAAAACTGGTATAAAAAAGGAACAGGGTCAATTTCTACTCATGATTTTCTCTGAAACCAACAAATCCCTTTTCCATAACTGACTTAACTGCATGATTTCTGTTTTATCTACCTCTAAAGCAAATCTGCAGTGTCCCAAAAGCTTAGTTATCGATTAAAGAGAGGTATCCAGTTAACAAAATGAAAGCTCAATGCTGGGCTCAGTTAGGGGAAACATATTTGCTCTGTTTGTGGACTTTTGCATTGTCCTTGTCCACATGTGGACACCCAGATGCCCTTCCAAACACAGTCATCTACAGTTCAGATTAAAACAAGATCTGAACATTGCAAAATGTAACTTTGGAAAACCCTAAATCCATGCAGGAGATTTTTCTCACTGGCTTCCCAATGCCCATGGTAAGGCCACAGATATTTGGTCATTTTACAAAATATTTAATGTGAAAGGGGCAGAGAACAGGAACAGGTCCTCAGAGCTCACCTGCATACCTAAAGAGGGATTCTGCCGTGCATGGTATCAGCCAAGTAGTTTTTAAAGTATATTCAAAAGGTAGCAGCATTGTTACAAAGCTATAGCCACTGCGAAAGTGTAAGTCAAGTGTCTTGGTCTCTGCTAATACTGTTTTGGTTAACACTAAATCTAGCTTAAGTAGATCTACAGTTGTATAAATTTGTAAAAGTATTACATGAACAACTAGTGAGGTTTCATACTCTTGTAACTGTAGTGAAAGTCATTGTATTTTCTTGTGAGCTGTGTTTAAATGGTTTTACCTCAAATCAGAAAACAAATGAAAAAATGGAAGTGCTTCAGGCAGTTAATAAAAATGGATTTACCCAGTATATAGTGTATTGGTTTGTTTGCATTCTTTTTGTTAAGAAATGATGTTAACCACTTAAAATTCAATTGCCTTTTTTTTTGTTGCTGGTACAAGGGGTTTTCCCCGTGGGGAGCTGAACTCAGTACCTCGCATGTACTTGGCTTACCCCCTGGTTTTTGCTAGTTGGGAAATGGAGTCTAGTGAATTTTTCTGCACGGGCTGGCTTGAACCTCAATTCTCCAGATCTCAGCCTCCTGAATAGCTAGGATTACAAGCATGAACCCGCCCTCCCCCCCCCCCCTCTTTTTGGTCAGTTATAGAGCTTGAACTCTGGGCCTGGGCACTGTCCCTCAGCTCTTCAACTCCAGGCAAGCACTCTACCACTTCAACCACAGCATCACTTCCAGTTTTCTGGTGGTTAATTGGAGATAGTCTCATGGACTTTCCTGCTTGGGCTGGCTTTTAACCGCAATCCTCAGATCTCAGCCTCCTTAGTAGCTAGGATTATAGGTGTGAGCCAGTGGCACCCAGTTTTCTCTGTACATCACCTTTATAACAATTAAAAAGTGAGTAAAAGAATCTGTAATCCCAGTAATCTGGAGGCAGAAGTAGGAAGATACTTGAGTTAGAGACCAGTCTCTGCACAATACTATAATACCATGTCAAAAACAAAAATGAATTTAGTGATTTTTTTTTGTTCCAGTACTGGGGCTTGAACTCAGTTCCTGGGCACTGTCCCTTAGCTCTTTTACTCAAGGCTAGTACTCTACCACTTGAGCCACAGCTCTACTTCTAGCTTTTTAGTGGTTAAATTGGAAATAAGAGTCTCACGAACTTTCCCAGGCTGGCTTCAAATTGTCTTCTCAGATCTCAGCCTCCTGAGTAGCTATGATTACAAGTATGAGTTCAAAAAGTAGTGAATTTAATTGGTTTTTATGTGTTTGACATCAAATCTACCTCTAAAAATCAGAACTTCTAGCCAGGTGCCCATGTCTCAAACCTGTAATCCTAGTTACTCAGGAGGCTGAAATCTGAGGATGAGGTTCAAAGCCAGTCTAGGCAGGAATGTCTGTGAGACTCTTATCTCCAATAAACCACAAGAAAACCAGAAGTGGCACTGTGACTCAAGTGGTAGCCTTGAGCTGAAGAGCTAAAGGACAGTGCCCAGGCCCAGAGTTCAAGCCCACAACTGACACACAAAAAAATAAAAACAACTTAAATCCATAACAAGGTTATCATGTTATACATTTACCCACGGCTGAGGAAAGTTGTTGGCTTGGTTTTGGTTTAAGACAAGGTCTCAATATGTAGCCTAGGCTGGCCTTGAACTTGTGATCCTCCTGCCTCAGTATCTATAGAGTGTTGGCATTACAAGCATGTGTCACTGTGCCTGGCTTTAGAAAAAGGTTTGTTGTTTTTAGTGTATTACCTGATTAGAAAAAGTATAAAAAGCAGTGGCCCCCACCTGTAATCCTAGCTACTCAGAAGGCTGAGATTTGAGGAGTGTGTTTCGAAGCTAACTCTGGCAGGAAGGTCCGTGAGACTCTTAACTCCAATAAACGACTTAGAAAAACCCGGAAGTGGCACTGTGACTTGTGGTAGAGTGCCAGCCTTGAGCAAAAGAAGCTCAGGGACAGTGCCCAGGCCCTGAATTCAAGGTCCAGGACAAGCCAGAACAAAAAAAAAGTATAACAACCCAGCAAAATTAATTCACCTCATGTTAGATTCCTTATCTATATATTCTGTGTGTATAGATAGGTATATAATATAGTATCCATTACATATATTACACCCATATCTATTATATAAATAGATATATATGTATTATATATTATACATGTAAGGAATACATTTTTATGTCTTAAAAAGATAGTTGGATATGTAGTAGGTTGTAGAAAAGTAACAACCTATTAATCTATGAATGTTAGCGTTTTGTCTTTTGAATGTTGGGAGTCTACAGTTTTCTTCAGAGATGTAGTCCTTGAACCAAAAAACTTGCACAGCTTTTTACTTTCTTGTGTTTGCCAGCCATATTACATGCATTTTTCTGATGTGCTCTTTGTCCTGCAGTAGATTCGGTGGAGATATTGTGCCAAGGATCCTGTTGTGCCTTCTGCTCAGGGGAAGCAATAGGGGATGAGAAGAACTTGAGCCACCTTTGCAACCCCAAATCTCCTTTACCTGTGTGGATTAGGTTATTCTTTTTACACAGTTAAGCAGGTTTGTCAGAGGCCAAGAAAACATCCAGAGTCTCATTAAAGCTTCAGTCCCAACAGCCTTTTACCCTCCCCTCAGAACTGAATTAACATGGTTTTTATTACACGTAATGGAATATTATAAAACCTTTGATCCACAAACTTACCAGATCTGGCTAGCATATATGTAAGCTCTAGCATGTAAAAGGCATCATCCAAAAGGAGGGAGTATTTGTTACTACCACTGGAATGCAGCAGGGGGAGGAAGCATCTCAGGAACATCTGTTTGCTCTCTACAGGCTGTTACCCCACCAGCTGCAAAGGCATTCTGTTCTCAGCTCCAGCATCTGATTCGCAGCGGCACTGGCTACAGGTCAGTCTTGGTGTAGTCAAACATTCACATTACCCTCCAGGGCCAAGTTTATGCAAATCCTAGGTCCAGAACAAACATCCATATACATTCCTTGCTGTTTCTGAAAGAAGTCTTTGAGCCTAACGAACCAGTTCAGCCCTAAAGTGCCCAGAACTCATTTTAAGATACAACCTGCCTTTGTTACAAAATACTTTGAGGCAGTGTGTTGTATTATTTTCTTTAAGTGATCAAAGACTGATTATCAAGGCCCTCAGTTTCTGTGAACTAGACTCTTCATTTTGCACCTTCAGGTATTTTTTTTTTTTTGGGTCCGGTCGTGGGGCCTGAACTCTGGGCCTGGGCGATGTCCCTCAGCTCTTCAGCTCAAGGCTAGCGCTCTACCACTTGAGCCATAGCGCCACTTCCGGCTTTTTTCTTTTTGCTTATGTGGTGCTGGGGAATCGAACCCAGGGCCTCAGGCATGCAAGGCAAGCGCTCTACCACTGAGCCACCTTCCCAGCCCGCCTTCAGGTATTTTTGTATATTCTGTTTTGGGGAGTCACTGATAAAATGTACACAGCCAGGAATGGTGATACATTCCTTTTTTCCAGCACTTTGGAGACTGCGGCAGGAGGACATAGAGTCCTAGGCCAGATTGGGCTATATGGTAAAGACTTGCCTCAAAAAAACAAAAGCTGGGCTGGGCACAGGTGGCTCCCACCTATAATCCTATAATCTTGGCTACTCAACAAGCTGAGATCTGAGAATCATAGTTTGAAGCCAGCTTGGGTAAGAAAGTCTGGGAGACTCTTTTTTTTGGAGGGGGAGGGTCTGGTCGTGGGGCCTGAACTCTGGGGCCTGAGCGCTGTCCCTCAGTTCTTCAGCTCAAGGTTAGCGCCCTACCACTTGAGCCACAGCACCACTTCCGGCTTTTTTTTTTCTTTTTGCTTATGTGGCGCTGAGGAATCGAACCCAGGGCCTCATGCATGCAAGGCAAGCGCTCTACCACTGAGCCACCTTCCCAGCCCTGGGAGACTCTTATCTCCAATTAACCACTGCAAAACTAGAAGCAGAGTAGAGCACTAGCCTTGGGGGGAAAAAATAAAGCTTAGTGACAACACCCAGACTGACCAAAACAAAAAGCCGGGCACTGGTGGCTCAGGCTATAATCCTAGCTTCTCAGGAGGCTGAGATATGAGGATCATGGTTTGAAGCTAGCCTAGACAGAAATGTCAGTGAGACTTGTATCTCCCATTAACCAGAAAAAATCCAGAAGAGGAATGACACAAATGGTAGAATGCCTTGAGTGAATAAAACTAAGAATACCCTGACCCAGAGGTCAAGCCCCAGTACTAGCACACAAAAAAATTGTACTAAGGGTAGGATAATTTTAAATCTATATATGATTTCTATTTATACAAAAGATAAAACTCAGATCTCTGGTTTCATGAACTTTGACATCACCCAAGGGAAATTTTTCATTAGAAGTATTAAAATTAGACATCTATGTTTCCATAGAAAAAAATTTCTGGGGGCTGGGAAGGTGGCTCAGTGGTAAAGTGCTTGCCTTGCATGCCTGAGGCCCTGGGTTCGATTCCCCAGCACCACATAAGCAAAAAGAAAAAAGCCGGAAGTGGTGCTATGGCTCAAGTGGTAGAGCGCTAGCCTTGAGCTGAAGAGCTGAGGGACAGCACTCAGGCCCCAGAGTTCAGGCCCCACGACCGGACCCCTCCCCCCCAAAAAAAAGAAGAAAAAAAAAAGAAAATATTTTCTGGACATGAAACAGCCTGATAATACATGTAGCAAATAAACAGACTTCAGTAATCACTATAACAATTTTATTTTTAATATATATGAAAATGAAGTATATTATTTCTCTAACAAGGCAATGAGAAAAAAGAACAACATTAGTGCAATGCAGCATACGACAGGTAGAAACTTTTCCCCCAAAGTGGAATTACTAGCATTTATTTCAACATATTACACAGTTTGCAACAATAAAAATACACTTAATTTATTTGGTTCTGCTTTAGTTCCACAAGTTATCAAGTTACATGGCTTTCTACCTGAGAAATTCAAATAAACAAAAAGCACATGGACAGGCCTTAGCTTTCTTACAGCACTGTCAGCGCACACACAAGAAACATGAAAACACTCAGAGTTTTAAAGTGCAGGCTCTTATTTACTAAGTCACAAAAAAGGGAGGAGAAATTACTTTTGCACCACTTAACTAGCAGCACTAACAATGTTATTGAAAAGTAGAATAGCTTCAGTCCTATTTCACTCCTTACTAAGCCATTTGATTGAAAAGCACAGGAAAAGTGGTTCTCTTCTTACACAAAGCAGAAGTTGACTCAAATGTAGAAAGTTTCACCACAAGCCAAATAACTAAAATTCAAACTTGTTCAGAATGTTAACATAAAACCAACATTTATACTTTTCTAAGTCCCAGGATGATATTAGCAAACAAAT